AGATGTCCTGACACCCATTGCAAAACCAACCGGGCACTACATATTCCTTGGCTCCAATTTGATCTCCTGGAGTGCCAAGAAACAATGACTGTTATCCGTTCTAGTGCTAAAGCAGAATATTGTTTGTTGCAACTGCTGTAACCGACATGACTTGGATTGACAATCTCCTTTCCAAATTAAACACATTGATACCTACCAAACTAGTCCTACGGCGTGACAATATCAGCAAGCCACACAGATGGCCTCTAATCTGGTTCACCACGCTTGATCCAAGCACATTGAGTTGGATGTCCATTTTGTTTGAGAGAAGGTCTTTTCTGTCAACCTATCAGTTTGCGACATGCCTGGTCAAGAGTAGTTAGCAGATGTCTTCACCAAGGGTTTGACATCTACATGGTTGCAATTGTTATGATTCCAACCATTACAAATCAATCTGAGAGTCTGCCCACACTCAACTTAAGGAGGGATGATAGGTTATACTATGTCAGTTAATGCACCACAAACATCATTCTTATCATTTACTAAGAGTTCTGCTTGAAAGATGCACTTTACTCGTATATATACCTTTGATTATTGAAAATCAAATCACCGAGTGGATTTACTCTCAAATTTTACATTAACAAGCACTGTAAGCAATAACCTACTGCTGTTGCATATTTTGAGATGCTTTAACTTTTTACCACGAAAACGAAAGAAAAGACAGGCTCAAATGTCGGATGGAATTTTGCGGGGGGATCATTCGGAAAATGGAATTCTAAAAGAAATTGAGAAGGGGACGCATGATTGAACCTGGTTGCCTCGGCCAGTGTACTTGAGCTGGCAGGACTCGAAACCCGGGCGGCGGCGAAAAAGGTTGTGAATTTCGCGGGCTTTGACGTCGTCTGGTAAGCCCGAGACGAAGAGAGTGTTAATGGCGCCATAGTCGGCCATGTCTTGCTGCGGTTGAAGATGATGTTGATGAAGGTAGTAAGGATCGTATGGTTGATGATGTGCCATCTACTTCTGCGATTGCGAAGATCTTTGGGACCAGAATACACGATGGGCGGCTGTGATTGAAGGAGCAGAAAGTCGCTGGAGGCCTCCGGCGGTCTATGTTGTGATATAGCGGGGGGAGTAGACCCGGGAGGAGGAATGAATTTGCAGCGAGCTAATTAGAGAATCGAGCAAATACGTCGCCGTTTTGGATTATTATTATTATTAAATTATATTTTTTTAATTATAACAAAATTTATTTATTTTTTCTTTCATCTCCTCCGTTTATCGGTGAAGGCCGAAAATCAAGAATCCCAAACAGGTGCCTGCTACTCTTTCGCCGGAGAAGAAAGCACAGAGCTGAGCTCCTTTCTGCCGCTGCAATTGATGATTGGCCCCTGCATTTAAAGAAGCGAAACTCGGGGAGAGAAATAAGGAAGCAGAAGCTGGCCTGAGCAACATCAGAGAGGCAGAGAGCATCAGACAGAGAAGAGATTGACAGGACAGAGCTAGAGGTTGATAAAGGGAACGCTGTTGAAGCTTTCTGAAACGGAGAAAAGTAGAAGAAGAGTGGTCCCAGAAGAATGCTTTTAGGTGCTCTGGTCGAGGTGGAGGAGAAGCTGCAGCGACGGAAGATCATGCTTGGAGGATTGGCGGAGCAGAAGAAGGCTTGGTAGGGAAGCTTTCCATGTCTACAAAAGGAGAAGATAAGAAGGGATAAGGATAAGGCAAGAAATGGTGAAGGGAAGGAAAGAGGGTTTTAGAAGACTTGGGAATTTAGGGTTCCCGATTAGCATTCAAAGAGAAGAAGAGGGGATGAGGAGAGTTCATCCCGTGTTCCAGAATGAAGGCGATTGAAGGAACTTTGGAGGCAATTCTGACGGGGAACACTAGAGCCCGGAAGGGTCTCTTTTTCTTCTTTCCCTTCTCAGCGGGTGCAGAGAATTGAGAGCGAGGATCTTTGAAAACCAAGGATAGAAGAGCCCGGGAGAGAAATCTGGGACCCGGATTCCTCCTTTGGGAGTTCGGCAACGGAAGACCGGTGTTTTTGAGAAGTGAGGCCCGGAGATTGGAGAATTCTTGTAAATCAAAACCAGAGCTTTGTGGGGGGAATCAAAGACCATGTTCTACGTCAAACTTGATGACAGGTAAAATTCTCCTTTTCATTATGCTTCGTAATTTTTCTTTTCATGAAGAATGTGATTGTTTAGGCCCTTGATGAACAGCTCCATTTTATTTTGATTATCCGTTTCTCCCATGATTATTGTCAAAATACAGTGTAAATATTGGATCAACGAACTTCTGTTACCTGCTCGCGCAAGTGCTTCTGTCAACTGTGGTTCCTGTAAGATAATTGCATTCTAGAATTTGGGTGATGACATATGTTTTGGCCTGCATTCTCCTGTAATTTTCCTGTTGCTGTACGAATGGTTGTAATACTCTGTACCAGTTGAATGGAAATATCAAAATGACGAACAGAAGACTCAAATGAATGAATCCTTGTAATGCACGAGAATGGTTTGAATGTGAATACTGGTTGAGTGTGAAGAACTTCTGGGGAACTCATTTCTGAAAGTTTACATGCCGCCTGGCTATGGGATTCCATGTATTTTTGAGCATGAACTGGATGTGGAATTTGTAAATGGCTCTCATCATTGTCTGCTTGCTGCTAAATATTCTTTACTTCAGTTGAAATCTGTCACATGCCCTCTGTAACCTTGAAGACTGGAATGGTCACTTAAAATAGAACTTGAGCAAAAGCCAAATGATGGAATTGTGTGGTAGTTAATACTCTTTAATTAATTTTAAAATGTTTAAAATTAGTGTATAAATATAATTTTTGAATTTTTTATTTAATGTATAAAATTTAATTTTAATTTTATAAATTATTAATTAATGTAAAAATAAAGAAAATTAAATGAATGATGAAATTGAAAATAATTTTGAAAAAAAATGAGTGAAAATTTAAGTTTTGAAGGTATTTTTGAAAAAAAAATTAGAAACTTATGATCAAAACGTAATTTTAAAAAATTATCTCACGCAGGACGCTCAGTTAGTAGCCCCGACAAATCGGAGCGCGCTGCGTGGCAAGGGACGCTGAGCCGGAAGTTATTCATTGTTGATCATGTTGATTGATTTTACAGTTTGAATGCATGATAATACCTGATTGATTGATTTTATAATTTTGAATGCATGTATTGTTTGCCTTATGTGATTATAGTTAAACTGAGAACTGAGATGCGATTGTATTCCTTTGATGCATGTTTTGTTTGTTTTATGTGATTACGGTTGAATTAGGAAACTGGAAACGAAAGGTAAATTGAAAATTGTTTGATTGAGTAAATGAATGAAATGACAGTCTTACTAGATATCTTGAGAGATGGTGGACGAACTGGGTGCATAGGGAACCCTACCGTGAACGTTGTCTCATACTGGACAGGGTATCGAGATTTGATAATTTGACTCTCATACCAGACGAGATATGAGGACGGCCCGTTTCAACCCTTATATCGGACGGGGTATTGAGATTTGGTAATTTGGCGCTCATACCGAACGGGTATGGGGACGATATGTTAATTAAAAATATTAAATGAAAGGGTTCACGCGTAGTGGAGGATATCCCTATGGACCCCTATGAATACCACCAGGCTGATAAAAAGAAAAATTATTGTTCCAACTGATTGCATGTGAAATTATGACATGTGTTATATTATTGACTCTATAGGCTGTCTTTGTAAATCTCGCTACGGTAAGTATCCGGTAAATGATTTTACTTATGATAAACGAATTTGCTAAATTAAGAACTCCATTAGTTGTTTTTGTGATTTCTACCAACATTCATTTCTGTGTCGGTGAGTAACGCGATATTTTTACTGAACTAGTATAGCTCACTCTTTCATTACTCATTTCATATCAAGAGGATCAGGATCCAGAGCCCGATCCGCAAGAGGGTTACGAGTAAAACGTTCAGTTTGTTTAACTTTAATTTATTTATTTGGTTATTAGTTATTTTTTTTGAAAGAGTTATATCCGTAAATTCTACTCAGTACTTTCAATTATTGCATAAGAAATATAGATCATAACTATTTGTTTCGTTTCTGCGCCAAATTTATAATTTATTTTTTTTGAAATTTTCGGGATCGTTACAGTAACAATTTCGAGCAATGGGTTTAGAGAGTTGCAGAGTTCTCCGATCACATTCTTTTTTGGTGCCCCTTCGAGAGTTTGGACATTTGCACATGTTTTATTTATTGGGGTAAACTTCTGTTATCATATTCACATACACATCTAATTGGATCATTACACCTTTTAATTCCCATACAATAGAGTTGTGACATTTAATGCAATGACAATGTCAAGGTTGGTCCGGATTCTCCAACAATCTGCGTTGTCCTTACCTATCCTATAAATGTACTTGTCTTCTACTAATATACCCACCTGTAAGTTGGTAAAAAGAAAAGAACATATGTATATGTATATGTATGTATCTGTATATATTCATTTGGAGACATGGTAAGTGCACCAACTTTTACAGTAGGTCATAAAAGGAGCTACACGAATCATTATTGAAAAGCTGATACAACCCTTCTGTTTGTAAATCATGTGGGAAGCTCTCCTTCAAAGACGATGATGATTCCAACAATGGAAATCATATAAAATTAATGTTCCATGAACAAAAAATTCAATTCAGTCCAGAAAATACCATACCCATTTCAACAACAGTGTTAGAAAAACAAGAACAAAACCCAGAAATTTCAAGAAGAAGAAAAAATCATACAGAACAATAAATAAATCATACATATAATTCAGACAGTAAAAAAAAAAATATATTAAACTAATTAAGAGGAAGAAGAAGATGAAGCGGCAACCACACCGGTCATCAGCCCGCGAGCAGCTTCCTCATCCACGAAAAATCATCAGTCTTCCTCAACGCCGCATGAACCGTCACTATAACCAACCCTATCGCCACCGACACCAATATATTCAACGTCGCGTGAGTTAACAGCAGCAGCACGATCGTAACCACGCCTAGAACGATCAGCACCGCGCGATCGTCGATCGTCTTCCCAAACACAGCCAACGGCTCGTCTCGAAGGAAGTACAGGAAAAGCCAGGCCGCCATCATCACTACAAACACTATCAGCGACACCGGGTGCCATAAAAGGCTTAGGAACAGAACAAATAGTGCCGTGATCGCGTAGTTCATGCGGAAATACACCGCGTTGGTTTTGATTCTGATAAGGGCGTCGGAGATGCCGCGGGGTAAACTAACGGAGCGGTAGTCGAACATGAGTTTCCACGGACGCCGGGTGCCGAGGCCGGACTTTATCCGGTCCTTAGCTCGTGATAAGTACTCCATGTTGGCGATCGGAGTTGCAGAAGACGATGTCGGAATTGTTCCATAGTTTGTCATGAAGGGTTGATTTGACTTTTCGGTAAGGAGATCGGAGAAGAAAGGATTTGAGGGTTTTGGAAGAAAGTAGACGTGGGGGGTTGTCTTGGAGAAGAAGAGAAAGAAGTATGGAGGGAGAAGGAGGAGGTTCTTATAAGGTGACTGTGAGGTCCATTTCTTCTGGTGTTGCACATGGTTTATAATTTTTTATTTAATTATTCATTTAATTATTCCTACTTTTTAATTTTATTTTTTTTTAAATTTTTGGAATTGATTTTCTTTTGGGATTTACAAGTTGAATACATAAATAATAAATAAAATTAATTGAAAATATTTATAAAATTTAAATTAAATTATAAAATTCACTATATTTTTTAGCTTTTTTTTCGTATACACGAACATTACTTAAAACAATAATATTTTATTTAACTACGAAAAGATGTCGCCTAAATTTCAATTCGCAAAATACCTAAAATATTTTATTTAATTCAACGATAACATTTTGAAACATTAGACATTGGTATCTTTTTAGTACAACAAAATATATTTATTTATTTTTATAATAAATAAAAATCGAACTTACATTCTTGACAAACGAAAAATTAATAACTGACCTAAAAATCAACTATATAAGCACGAATCGTTTGTAAAATGAAAACTAATATATTAAAAATAAATTTCTCTATAATTTTATCTTCTACTAATAGCCTATTTTATTATTATTATTACTACTACTATTATTACTGATATTATTATTATCGTCTCCCTTGTTCGTAATATTATTATTATTTTTTAAAAAGATGGGATTTAGTTACCACAAGAACTCTACGAGGAGGGTCATGCCCAATTCCGCTACCTCTTTTTTCAATATATATATATATATATATATAATGTATTTTTAGTTCCTTATTTATTTTATTTTATTCTTTTTTCATTCTTTTTGAGATATGATGCCCAAAATCAATTAGGCTTGAAAAAGAATACTACAAGTGTTATTATATATTTGTTGTATATTTATTTTAATTAGTTTATCCATTACGATTTCGTGCTTTTTAATTTTACCACATTTGGAGAATTGATAATTATAGTTGGGGGAAAAATCTTTTTACCTTTTTTAGGCTCTTTTCACTCCTGAACCTTTTAATATTTTTGTATGTCAAATTACATATTATCACAGACTTTATATCCAAGTACTTCCATTATAAATCAATTCTAAAAATACTACATCTTTTGTTACAACGTTAATAAAGTTAGAGATGACGGTTTTGATATGAATTTGTCATATCTAAATTACTTAAATCTGATTTGATATAGTTTTTCAAATATATTTACGGGGTAATTTCTCGTTATACGCTGTGAATATCATTTTTCTTCTCGGTGTTATTTAAAATTCTTGATAATACTTTTTGTATATAAAATAAAGAGATGAAGAGAAAATAGATCTACTTATTTAAGATTTTGTTCTGCAATTAACCCTCTGAATATGTACCTATTGATAACGAACTAGTGAGAAACGTTTGTTATGCATTGAAAAATTAGATTTATTACCTCAATTGTTGAATCCACGATTGCCCATAATATGCTTTAAAAAGAATTACTCCGCTCTATCAAATATATTTTTCATATTGTACTTTATAAGAAATTTTGTCTTCTTCCCGAGATTCTCCTCGTAGATATTTATAGCACGATGATCACATTTTTTTTTGGGTATATTTTTCTGTTTCGTAAAAGTAGTTTGCACGAGAAATATTAACTATTAATATCATTACGGTAATATATTAGAAATTAGAAAATAGTTTATATTTATTCATTGAAGAGTAAGACGGGAAAATTTTAGTATTTGATTAATTATTTTATTTAATTCCTCATCAATTTTTAAGATTTAATTGTTTTAATATTATATATAATTATAACTTTAACTTTATATCTTTGAATTTTTTAATCACATTGAAATATAGAAATTAAATATTTTTTTAAAAGTATTTAATAATAAATATAACACAATCAA